GCAAGGAAATGAGTAGGATCAGGAAAAAATTGAAGGGGTTAAACCATACTGGTTTATTTCTGAACTCCACCACTTGCTATGGGCGTGGTCTTGCTCAAAGACCTTATCTCGCTACACTTCACCCAATATCATGCTCTCTGGCTGTCAGTCACATTCACAGCCATAGTCCCTCCAGACTTCTGTGGCACATGGCACCTTAACCCCAAACATTGAATCTCTATTAGTAAGGCTGAGTCAGGATCTGTGGAAGCAAGAAAGGACAGAATTCTTCATCTTATCACTTATCTATTTAAGAAGCTACGAGTTTATTCATTCAATCTATTTCATAAAACTACTTGGTATGTTACCAGTTGACTGCACCTTCTTTTTCCCAACACGAATCATTTCCTGGTACCAGAGTTACTTGGTGCCTTCTGGGACCCAACCTGCCTCCTCTGGCCAGATCCCCATTCCCCTAGGTTGCTGCTGGCTGACTGGCTGACTAGTCTAATAGGCTCATTGGCACTGTGTTGGTGACCCAATATTGGTAAAAATAATTGCTCTTTTTTTGAGCGCTTAATCTGGGCCTGGCACCGTGCTGCTACTTTATTTACATCTCATTTAACCCTCACACAATACAGCAATGTACTTGTGAATAAAGAACACTGATACTCAGAAAGGTTATATAATTTGGCTCAGGTTGCAGGGGGGCGTGGCAACATGGGATTGAAGCTCAGGTAGCTGGACTTGAAATAGATGTTGGCTGTCCTCGCCCCTGCTGCTCTCCCAGTAAAGGCTTCATGTATAATCCTTTTCTATATTGTTTCCATTTTAATAAGGAATCCTCAAGGCTTTCAACCAAACAGGGCCCTTGCAGACCACCAGGGGTGTTGGTTTTGGAAAACAGATCCTTTGAGGCCCCCATGGGACCCCTCTGAATACAGTGGTGTCTGCTTTTGAATTATGCTTGTCAGGACTGAGAGCTATTTGCAGGCATCCAACATGACCCTTGAATGTTTCCGATTCAGAAATCAATATCCACATTTCTGTCACGAACATCAAACCAAAATCAATAATTCACCCTGAAAAAAGTTAATGGCTTTTTAAATCAGAGCCCACATTCCTGCTATCTGATGCCATCACTAGCAGGAAACTTAAAGGTGGCAATAGCGTATGTAAAGGTTTTATATTAAGGTTCATAAATATGTAGAAATGTTTCTTGAGTGATATTACTGATTTTATTTGTTATGAAAAATCTTTTCAATGGCTTATTGTCAAACCTCATGCCAACATCTGCAGTTGAGTTCTGGGGAATTAAAAAGCTCACTGAAGTCCCTTCTATGGAGAATGCTCGTTGGCTGCCTAGGATACACTAAGTAGCAATAGGCCTTCCCTGGGGAAAACACAGTTTATTTGAAATGGAGCAAAATTTAAAGCATTCCATTACTTTATTTGTGGGTTACTTTTCTTAACCAGGTAACCATGACGTCAAAGAATCCTTAAAAAATCCTCAGCCGACCGACAGTTGATTTAGTGTTGTGGGTTCTCTCTCACCTGGTTTTCTAACCTACTTTTTAGGTCTGGATAATATATCCCTTGTCTTATAATTTCTTTGATTCTAGTTTTATTGCTTTTGTAAGCTATCTCTGTGTATGGCTTGGGTATAAACCTTTCTTTCAGACAGGAGAACAAGATCATTTAAAAAGGTAAAGGTCTACAACCCTGTTACATGGGTCCTTACTTTGGCGAACAAAGAAACAGTTGCAGAGGTGGACCTGTGGACCCTGGCTTTTTGATTCTATCAACAACGCCTTCTGTTGTCTTTGCCCTACCTGCCTGTTGTAATAGCTGGTTGTATCATAACCCTGAAATGGCCATGAGTCCATCCCACCACCCCACTGACTGCCCTTTCCTACTGGTATCTCCTCCTACTTTGTGGTGTTAAAAATCCCACCTTCAGGCCCTCTCTGGTGGTGCTTTGGGTGCAGCACTGTGAAGCTGTCTGCAGCCACTGCAACTTGAGTTTGATTCCTGGCCAGGGAGCTGACCCATATGGTACAGCAGACCTCTCCTGACCCACCCGCTGCTCCCCTCAACAGTGTATTTCTGTTCTGTTCCCCACTCTTTCTGATGGATCCTCCTAACCCCCCCCACCCTCACACATGTGGCCTGTACCCTAGTTCTTATATGCTTACATAAATAAATCTTTTTTTTTTAAACTCCTTAAAAAAATAAATAAAATACCACTTTCACCACTTATTGGCCAGGATACTCTAGGAAAATTCCTTAATCTATCTGAGCCTCATTTTTCTCACTCATCTAAAGGAAAAATAAAGCTTTCTTGTAGGACTGTGATGAACTCTAGTAAAAAACACAGTGTAAGGACACAGCACATACCTAGAGCAGAGTCAGTTTCACAAAAGTGAGTTCCCTCCTTCATCCCTCTCAACGCAGAGCTCCCCTGAGCCACGTGCAGGAGGATCTGAAATGGGTCTGAAATGGGGACTGGCGTCAAGAAGGAGAACTCAGGTTGTGAGATGGAAGAGCGAAGCAAAGGGAAAGGGGCATTTGTGTAGTTCGAGGTCTTTCAGCTATGCTTCTGACTAGCTAAATTTCAAAACTTGACAGCAAAAGAACTAAATAAACTTATCATTTCTAAGAGTTTTCTTTCCAGCCACTGACTTGAGAAGGCTCTTGCTATTTCAGGAAAGAGCGATTGGGACTCCAGACAGCCATAATGCTGCCTAGTTATCTCAGGACCCATGTTGCCAGGAGAGCTCCAAACAAAAAATACTGAGAGATTTGTCAATTCTGAATGACTAATTTGACCTGTGTTAGCCAAAAAGTAGGCTTTTACATTATTGAATAGAACTTTTCTTCGCTAATTGGCTTTCCATCTTGTGAATGTGACTGGCTCAGAGGGTCGCTCTCCTCAGGCCTGAGCCTTGTGTGGTTCTGCAATTCATGTGGACGCATTCCTAGAACACCAGCCTCCCCCACCTTGCTGTTAAAGCCAACAGGTTTTCAACAGCCTCTTTGTTAGTGCTGTTTCATAATAATTTTGTCTGAGCTTGCTCAGGAAACATTCCAGGTCTACTCATAGGAGAGCATTTTCTGGTTTCAGTGCCTGAGGAGCTCAGTACATTATCCTTAATCTCTCAGAATTATCCTTCTTTCTGCAAATAATATAAGCAAGAATGTGAATGTATGGTTCAGGGTCAAATCTGGTATAGACATGGGTTTATTCTTTTAATTTTAATCATAGTGTTTATCTTCCAACACTTTTTACTGTTACATGTTTCATATAACTATGACTCTTATACATCCACCTCCTAAAATCAACTGTTAACATTTTATTCTACTTGCCTTATCACTTACCTGTCCATCTATTCCTTTAGACACCTATCAATCCTTATATTTTTATGTATTTCAAAGCAACTTTCAGACATTAGTATACTGCATCCCAAATCCATTGATCAGTGTATTAGAATTTAATAAGAAATGTACACACCTTCGGTATATATTTGCTTACTTTGACAAATGCATAAATCCTTTCTTTTAAAGATTTATTTCTTTATGCACACAGAACTGGGGTACATGCCAGAGGTGGGGGAGTGTGTGTGAGAGGATTCACCAGAGACAGAGTAAGGAACAGAACAGGCAAATGTACTGAAATACACTGCTGAGGGGAGCAGGGACAGACAGAAGAGGTCTGCCGTGCCATGTGGGTCAGCTTCCTGGCCAGGGATCAAACTTGTGCTTCAGTGGCTGCAGACAGCTTCATGGTGCTGTGCTTTTACCTGTTGCGCCACCAGAGAGGGCCCATACGTTCTTTTTGTGTAAGGCTTCTTTCAGTCACTGTAATGCTTGTGAAATGTATCCATGTTATAATATCCATCAGTAATTCGTTCCTTTGTATTGCTGAGTACTGTTCCATTCTATGATATAGCACAGTTCATCCATTCTCCCACTGATGAACACTAGGCCTATTTCCAAGTTTTATCTCATTCATTTTTACAATTATGCCAAACTGCTAAAAGCATTCCTGTCTAAGTCGCTCTTCATTTCTTTCTTTTGAGTAAATATCTACAAGTAGAATTTCTGGGTCATTGTTTATAATAAAATTTTATAAAACACCACCAAAACTTTCTCAAAGTGTTTGTACCCTGAACATTACCACCACCAGCCAGGAGCTCCAAACCTTAGCCAAAGTTTGATGTTTTCATTCTTGGCGATCTGGTGGGGTGGAATCTCATTGTAGTTTTAATATTCTTTCCCTTGATGACTAATACTTAGAGCACTTTTTTAAAATTAAATTCATGAATTTGCTACAAATTCAATTAACATACCATCACTTTAAAGTTGAGAGGTTTTACGTAAGTGATACCCAGCTTTTCATAACACATTAAAGAATCCAGCAAATGTGGGCTCTTGTTTCCACATGGGAGAAATCACCAGAAGCTGAGTGGTGGCTGCCTCTCCAATACCTGAACTAATTGTCAACTGCAATACATCACCACATTTGCAGTGTATTTCCTTCCCATTAGTGGTAAGGGAGCTATTTCTCAAATACGTGTTGTTACCAATTTTGGAAAAATGAAAGATCAAGTGGACCTTATATTTCAAGTGTTCTCTGTGTCATTGAAAAAAAAAATAGTCCTACCTACAATGTTTAATATGTAAATTAAATGGGTCTATTTAAAAGATTATAATTTTAGACTCTAAAATCAAATTGCCCAACTTTGTTTGTTTTTATTATCTGCCTGGTCCCTGTAGGATTTTGAGTTTGCAGCTCCAATAATGGAACATGTAAACTGATAAATTATGTCTTAAGACTGCACTATCTGGGGGCTATTGAGATATATAAAGAGATCTAATTTAATGTCATTTCCTGAAAAGGAGGGGGGTGAATCATTCCACGAATACTTCATTGAGAATACTCAGTGAAGCGTTATAAGATATTGTGACTAAAGAAAATTGTTTCATTTTCTCAAATTCTACCATTTTTCTTTTAATTCCAGGATTGTAAGTGGAAAATGTATATGGAGATGGATGGGGATGAAATTGCAATAACCTACATCAAAGATGTGACATTCAACACTAACCTACCTGATGCAGAGATTTTAAAGATGACAAAGGTAGGGTTCTATTTACGGCTGAAAAGCTTTTTTGAATTCACAAATATCAAACAAAGACATTAAAATACCCCAGCAGTGTGCTTTTGTGCTTGTCGATGCTCACATCAGCTCAGCCTCAAGCTGGCTGTTGAAAGGCACATTTTATTTAGCAGACTGAGATCATAATAGTTTTTTGTTAAAATTCCACTTACATTGTGAGAACTAAAAAGTATTACAGTAAAGTATCCCTCACTTTTTGTTATTTCCTTCTACATTTCTTTATGTTTATTCTGTCATTTATTAAAAAAAAGAAAATGCCTTGATGAAAATATTTACCTTGGATTTTAGGTCATTTTAAATTTTGAAAAACTTTGAAGGTTTTCTTGAAAAATTTGTAAGGAAGGTTCAATGTCTTGAAGGACTGACACGAGGTTACTCATGAGGAACATGTTGAAGTCTTAATGGCTTCCTTGCAATTATGCCTAAGAAAACCTGGAGAGGCCAGGGAGTGTGTTGACACCTTCGGGTCCATGGCGGAAGTGTGCCCATTAAAACAATGAAGAAAGACTTAGATAAATTCTTAGCTTCTCCTAAAAAAAAAAAATCTGCCCACATTATACTGAAAGAAAACATATGAGACTCTGCTGTAGAAGGTCAATCACACCATAGCTCTGAACTTCACATAAATCATTGATCCTCTCCAAGAAGTCTAGAACTGTAACAGGATGGTCCCCAGGAAAAGGGGGCACCCAGAAGGAGGGCAGAGTTGAGTAGAAAAGAGAGGATTCTGGATGGAGAAGGAAAAAGGATGGAGAGCCAGAAGGAGACCCGAGGAAGCCACATGGAGCAGAGGGAGACGTGTGAAGAAACTGTGCTTGTTTCTTGGCCGTGGACTGGTTGAAAGAGATGTGGGTGAGGGACCTGTGGGGAGGTTGACTATGGCAGTGTTTATATAAATTTTATTGTGCTCTTTTCCTCCCAGACTTGTCTGGCCATGTCTGACCCTTTTCTGTGGGTCCCTGTCAGAAGGTGCTTTAGGCTTGTGGCGGGCTTTCAGGCCTTGCTTTGAACCAATTCTTTCTGGGTGGACTTTTACGCACGAGATGGGTAACTTCAGTTGTATTTTTTGTCTTCTGTATTGTATACTCACTGTATTAAAGTTCCTTTCCATTAATGTTCTTATGTCTTGTATTGATGCGGTAGATGGCAGAATCTATTTAGAGAAGGCAGTTTAGAGGTTCAGTGGTGCCTCTCTCCCTGCCCTGTAACAGAACAGACCTTCTCAAAATGTGTCATGGGCACGTGGATTATTTTACACTAAAATTAATCAAGGACCTACAGGATCATTAGGAACTTCTAAAATGCCCTTAACTATCTACATGGGTGAAAATTAGGGATATTACCCAGAACTAGGATTTTTACCAGAACTACCAGAGAATCTGTTACAGGGCAGTGAGAGAGGGGCACCCCTGAACCCCCAAACCTGCCTGCTCTAAATAGGTTCTGCCATCCACCGCCATCAAAACAAGACATAAAAGCTTTAATGAAAAGGAACTTAAATACAGGGAGTATACAATACAGAAGACAAAGAATATAATTTCTAAATCAAACACCTGAAGTTAGCCATCCCCCTCATGAGTAAAAGTCCACCCAAAAGAGATTGGCCCAAAGCAAGGCCTGAAAGCCTGCCACTTGTCTAAAGCACCTTCTGGCCAGGACCCATAGAAAAGGGTCAGACATGGCCAGACAAGTCTGGGAGGAAAAGAACAAAATCAAAATCAAGATAAATGCTGCCATAGTCAACCTCCCCACAGGTCTCTCACCCACATCTGTTTCACCCAGTCCAGGACCAGAAGCAAGCACGGTTTCTTCACATGTCTGTCTGTTTCATGTGGCTCCTTCTGGCTCTCCATCCCGCTGCCTTCTCCAGAATCCTTCTCTTCTCTGCTCAGCTCCACCCTCCTTCTGGGTGGGGCAGAGAACCTGGAACTTCCCCTTTTCCTGGGGACCATTCTGTTACAAAACCTACTTTACAAAAGGACAAGCATTGAATTACAGAGCCTCTGGTGATGTCAGACACCTTCTCTTAGTCCTGTGATTTCCCCTCCTCTCTCCTTGAAGTCCCAGGCCTCTATCCCATTCCTGAGCTTAGGCTAGATACTCCCATTTCACTCACTTGAAATAGAATCCACATCCAGGTAGCTTCTCCATAGGTATATAATTAAATTTGTTCTTTTCTCCCACTAATCTCTCTACAGTTAATGGGATTGCTGGACCAGTATGAGAAAAACCCAAATGGGTGGGGAAATTTTCTCCTCTTCCTTGACACCCTTACTAGTCTACAACTCTTAACTGTGTGTCAGTGAAGAAAATGGGGTTGGTAGCAAAGCGCCACACAAATGGGGAAGTGAAAAGACTCTTCTGAGTCCAAAGCATTAGACTTGCAAATGTGTTCCCTTCACTGGCATGAGATTGCTACACCCAAGTCCCTTTCATTTACAAATATATTCATCAAGTAGATTGATTTCATTCTCACTGTTGTAGTCCCCAGAGTACCTGGGAGTTAACTCCACAATGTTGTTTATCTGGGAAAGTTATGATTTGGTTGTAGTTTCCCCTTTTTTTGTTGGGCCATAATTATGTTTTAGTGTCTTGAAGAAGGGACAACTTTCTCTTTCGTCCCCACCTGTGCGGTCTTTGATTACAACAGTTGTTCATTGCTTCAGAGTCATTTAGAAGCAAGATCCAAGTCATTGTTGCTAACAGAAGGAAGTTGCTCCCAGCAGAAATAACAGACCGTAGTTGTAAAACCACATGCAGGTGTTTCTGCTGCAATGCTGTATATACGTTTCCTCAAAGCTACCTCCTCATACGAGATTGCAGGCTAATATTAACAGGGCTTGTAGGAGAAATAAGATTGAAGCTAACTGTTCAAAATCTATGGAACTTTTGACCAACAGAAACAACAATTCTAAAAACAAACAAAACCCAGCCCACTTAAATTTCTACAATATTTGCTTTGTTCCCAGCTCACCACCAGCCAAATTTCAGCCTTAAACCTGGGAGGAAAGGGGGAGTGGGAGAGGGTGAAAATTCCTTCTAATGAAGGCTATTTTCATCAAAATTTAAATAGAAGGGAAAACACAGCTTCCTTGGGAGCACTTTGGTTTAATATAGTGATGAAATGTGGCCACAGTTCAGTGAAAGGAGCATGGTGGTTGAAGCCCACGGCCCCTGCTCCCATTCCTGGACCATCTCATACTGTTAAAGGCTTCGCTTCATTGTGGGAAAGCTGTCCACATTAGCATGAGTGATGTTTCAAAACATTAGCATGAATGATGACCTAATGATAGGTTTGAGTGATATTGAATGCTGTCAGTAAAGAGAAGATCATGGGAGACCAAGACTAGCTGTTTACAAATATATGAAAGGCTGTCTTATAAAAACCACAGCCCCAAACTTTCACTTGTGAGCGGTCTGTGGTATTCGGACATTATGCCCCATTTGTCAGTTTCATGTGCACAACTGACCTCAATGAAACTTATGCTGTAGCAGAGTGGTTGTATGTATGATGGCAAGAACCCATCCTAACTTGTCTTTTTCAGCCCCCATTTGTAATGGAGAAGTGGATTGTGGGAATAGTGGAAAATCAGACTGTAGAATGCACTGTCACATATGAGGTAAGCTTGGTATGGGTGGGGGTTGGCGGGGACTGGTGGCTTTACCTTCTGTTTCTTGATGGGGATTTCTTTGCTCCCTCAAAGAGCTTACATATATTGAAAATTACCTACCCAAACATGAATTATTCAACAGAGGTTGAGGCATTCATTCTTTCACTCATTGCTCAGTGGTTGAACACCATCTGCAAGTCACATGATGTGTGAGGCACAGGGGAAGTCAATAAAAAATCATAGTATTTATTTACCCTCATCGACCAGTGTATACAGCTTATGAAAGAAGCACCTGAGAAATAGCATTAATCGTCACAGCACAGTTTGCAGAACACAAAACTTAAATGAAATGAGTCGGTTGGTCTCGAGGAGTTGGAATCCAAACTACTCTGGAACCTATTAACCAGGCCCCATAACTCAGGAAACAGTCCTGCTTTTAAAGTCACTGCACAGTTACAGTAGCCAGAATTCACATCTGCCCACTTAGTCAGGTCTAGAAACACACCACACCAAATTTTTCTTCCTCACCTCTCTCCTTCTTTGTCCTCTTCTTCCTCAGACTCCATCATGATAGTTACTTGTGTCTGCAACTGTTAATTTTGGGTTTCTTAGACCGATTCACATAACCTTATTGAATCCTAAGAACCTCTTTTTTTTTTTTTTTAAGATTGATTTATTCATGCATACAAGAACTGGGGTACAGGCCAGAGGTGCTGGAGGTGAAAGGATTCACTAGAGACAGAGTAGGGAGCAGAACAGTTGGATCTACTGAAATATATTGCTGCGAGGAGCAGTGGGTGAGACAGGAAAGGGCTGCCATGCCACATGGGTCACCTCCCTGGCCGGGGATGGAACTCATGCTGAAGTGGCAGTGGACAGGTTCATAGCACTATGCTTTATTTAACCTCATGCATCTGTTACCCAGTATCCTCTTTGGGGTAATCAGTACCACCAATCTACCCACACTGACCAGTTTCTTTGATTAGCAGACACATTCTTGGGGAGAATGGCAATGATTTTCAAGTATCCAACAAATACTAGTTTTTCCAAGTACTATTAATAGAAGTTGTTTTTCATGTTTTATTAAGTGAAGAGGTAAGTTGAGATTTGCCTAATGTAATAAATTCTGGGAGAAGACAATCACATTTTTAATTACTAGAGTTCATTAAGGGATAGAGTACCATGATTCATTAAGGAATAAAGTGGTTAAAATTTTCCTTTTAATCAAATTAGCATTTTTAGGCAAACTGTACAAATATTTTACATACCTCATTATGGTAAAGTTATTTTTTTTTTTAAGATTTATTGTACTTACGCATACAGAACTGGGGCACAGGCCAGAGTTGTGGGGGATGAGAAGATTCACCAGAGACAGAGTGAGGAGCAGAGTAGGCAGAGCGACGAAGTACAGTGCTGAGGAGAGTAGCAGGTGGGTCAGGAGAGGTCTGCCATGCCATGTGGGTCAGCTCCCTGACTGGGTATCAAACTCATGCCAAAGTGGCTGCTGATAACTCTGCAGTGCTGTGCTTCAAGCATTTGCACCACCAGGGAGGGCCCATGGTAAAGTTCTAAAAAGTGAAATTGAAGTGATGTAATAACCTGACTTCCTTTCTTGTTTTACAAAAGTATGTATGTTTGTTCATGTTTTTCTCTTTTCTTTGTAGAGCGATGTTAGAACTCCAAAAAACACGAAACATGTCCACCTAATTCAGTGGAGTAGACTGAAACCTGAGGATGAAGTGAAAGCAGTCCAACTTGCCATTCAGACGTTAAATCTCAACTCAGAGGGCAACCCTCGGAGCAGATCTGACTCTAGTAAGTTAGGTGGCTAGACTAGAGACCAGAGCTTAAATTCTCACATCAGGGGCAAGTGACAATCTGTGAGCAGATATGGATTTTCTTTTTAAGATTTATTTTATTGATTTATGTCTACAAGAGCTGGAATATAGGCCAGAGGTATGAGGTTGGGGTTTTGGGGTGAGAAGATTCGCCAGAGACAGAGTGGGGAGCAGAACAAGCAGATCTACTGAAATACACTGCTGAGGGGAGAAGCAGATAAGACAGGAGAGGTCTAGTGTGCCATGTGGGTCACCTCCCTGGCCACGTATCAAACTTGTCCTACACTGGCTGTGGATACTTTTATAGTGTTGCGACTTAACCCTTTGTGCCACCAGGGAGGCCCCAGGCATGGATTTCTAATACAATAGCACTTCCTTCTAATTTTAGAATATTGTCTTTATAAATAGATTATATGCAAAGTAGTATTTATGGACTTATGAGCATATTATGATAATTTTGATTTCTGGATAACTATGATAAAAGAAGAAAATTAATGAATACATATTATTGGTAAATATAAGTGTGTATGCTATACCTATATGCTTAGTTTCCAAAAGTGTGCCTGTGGAACAACATATGAATCTTTTATGTCCACCAAATATTTCATGACTGCTTTGCATTGAGACAACTTCTTGAATCCTGAATACCATTGATACATCAAAGCATATGAATGAAAAGGAAGGAAGGATGAAAGGAGGGAGGAAAATGGGAAGAAGCGGGAACCTGACGAGAAGACAGGATTGAGAAAGAGAATATATGAACTGTATGTCATGTGTAGTGATGGCGGGGATTATGAATGCTGTGTAGAAGCCCTTTAGGACAATAATATAGAAGGCCAGCTAACTTGCTGTTAAATTGGTTATTTGGGAGAGTTTCAGAGGAGAGGTTCTGAACTTCACCTTTGTAGGTACAGAAACTCTAATAAACCCAGAGTTAGATTCTACAGGACTGCAACAAGCTAATAATGAATCTATAGGCCATCAATCCATAAATCTGTGTCAGAATAGTTGTTGACAGCACAGGAACAATGCACCCTGAGAACTGGTGCTACTAGGCCCTGTGTCCTCACTGTAAGGCCTGGCTTGCCAAGCAGACCAAATATTTTAAAATCCCACTGGCCATGTGCCCAGAAGCCCCATTACTATTCAAAATCCAAAATCCACCAATGAATTCTTTGATAGGCTGGTCTTTCTCTCGCTCTCTCTCTCTCTCTCTCTCTCTCTCTCTCTTTTTTTTGCCAACACAGTTGACTTGGTAATTTTTTTCATGAGTAATCATAAGAAGACATTCTGACCACCACCATTATTGGGCTTGAGTTTTTACCAAGCTCTCTCAGCCACATTTGCAAATATCTCTCAGGGTGTGCTGTTCCTACAGATGACTAAGCCATTGACAGTGATGGGTTCTCACTGGCTCCCCTCTCAGAAGACATTATTTCTAGGGTCTCTTCTGTGCTAATGCAGCATCCTTGTCTTGCTTCATGCCATTAAAGACTTTTTACTGAATTAACTCATTTCTCCTTTTGAAATAATATTTCTAGGTCTCATGTTTGTTGTGTTTTCATAGTGAGGATCCTATTTGATCATACAAGTCTTATAGAATCTGAAGGTCTTCTTTCTCTACTTCTGCTGTGCTTTTCCTTTCCACTAACGGCTGCTTTTCTCTCTTACAATCCATGTGACACAAAACAGCTGTCAATTCTTTCCTCACTTATCCATAGTTCAAATCCCACTTTAGAGTCACCAGATAGACACTCCATCTATCCTAATTCCAGATCTGCAGCACCAGAGAGCTCAAGGAGACCACCAGAGAACCCTGGACATGGTTCAGGCCCAGGGATGGATTCTAGGTATGAGGAACTTATGTGGAGATACAGCTCACTAAGTGGCTCTTCACTGAGATACAGCTCACTAAGTGGCTCTTATTATTAATCATTTTTTCGACCTTAATCTCTTACTCTTTGCCATGAAGCTTCACTTGTCACACAGGAACATTTCTTATTACCAGGAATCGCTCCTCTGGAGGAAGGAGCTGTCAGCTGTCACTCTTCCAACAATTTCTAGCTCCTCAACCAATGGAACCCAATTTATTCTATTTGCATTTATGACTCTTGAGGATTTAAAAATTCTGGTTAGGGGGCCCTCCCTGGTGGTGCAGCGGGTTAAAGCACAGCACTGAGAATCTAAAGCCACTTCCGCATGAGTTCGATTCTCTCCTGCCAGGAGCCCCGAAGGTGACCACATGGCGAGGCAGACCTCTCCTGGCCCTCCCGCTGCTCCCCTCAGCAGTGTACTTCATCAATCTGCCTATTCTGCTCCCCACTCTGTCTCTGGTGAAGCCTCTAACCGCCCCTGAGCCTCTGGCCTGTACCCCAATTCTGTATGCACAAATAAATAAATCTTTAAAAAAAATGTTCTGGTTAGGGGAAAGCTTTTTGTTTACTAAACATGTCCCTGTCATCCAAAACACACTTCAACAGCAAATTGTAGAAGTGACAAAATGGGAGGCAGGGAGGGAGGAGAGGGAGAAGAAGATGTAATCTGGATGCAGAAAGACAAGAGAGTGACCTGGGGGAAGTTGCTTGACCACCCAAGCTCCAGTCTCCTCATTTAGAGAAGTAAATTTTTACAATGTAATTGAGAAGAATATTGGAAAGACCAACTAAGATAATGTTCTAAGTAAAGCCTATGGAATGCATATAGCATGTACTGAGTAAGTGTAAATGCTCTTACTTTTTATAGTGTATGTGTAATACTAAAGGAAAATCCTGATACCAAGCCTTTCTATGAATGGGAAAGCTTAAAGCTTATCCCCCAAACAGGCTTATGAATTAGCACTCAGCTTTACTGTGGCTTAAAGGATGCTCATTTTCATTTCTTGCACAGGTGCCGACTGCCAGTGGTTAGATACTCTGAGGCTGCGGCAGATCGCTTCCAACACTTCTTTGCAGCGTTCCCAGAGCAACCCCATTCTGGGATCGCAATTCTTCCCATACTTCAATGACCAGGATTCCTACGCCGCTGCTGTGAGGCGGACCCAGCTGCCCATCAAGTATCAACAGATCACACCTATAAACCAGTCCAGAAGCTCCTCCCCTACTCAGTACGGACTGACCAAAAACTTCTCTTCTCTACATCTCAACTCTAGGGACAGTGGCTTTTCCAGTCTTAATACTGACAACTCTTCCGAGAGGGGTCGATACGCAGGTAGAAGCAGGACCAAATACGATCGGGGTAGTGTGTCACTCAATTCCTCCCCTAGAGGACGGTTTAGTGGGAAAAGTCAGCATTCCACGCCCTCAAGAGAAAGATATTCTGGAAAATTCTATGGTGTTTCTCCGTCTGCATTCAATACTCGGCAGTCACCTGACTTGAAGAGAAGTCCGAATGATCGCCGTCCATCCAGGATCATCCCAGGGATGCCTTTGTACAATGAAACTGACACAAAAGCCACTGAAGAAGAGAGCAAAGTTAGCGAAGGGGGATGGACGAAAGTAGTTTACCACAAGAAAGCCCACCGGCCCACTCCTGCCAAAACTAACAAGGAACGAGCCAGAGGAAACTACCGCGGGAGGAGAAACTTTTGAAGAACCAAACTAGATGAGTTTTTCTAAACAACATTTTTTTTTAAAGTAACGAACTTTGATCATATGATCCCTGCAGATAGAATTAACAAAAGACACCTGTTCCATTTGTTGGATCTGGGGAAAATCTCCTCATTGAGACCCGGCCAAACTCTGGGCTCCAAAATCACAGATGTGGGTGGCCCAAGTGATGGCAGGTAGACTTAAACTATCTATACATACTTCCCCCCAAAATTAAATTTTAAGTGGCAGAAACATGCCATCTTTCCCCCCTAAACTACAGACCTTCTGATTAATAGGGCTTGGGTTAGGGCCAAATGAAATGTTGCAAAATTTAAGGGAACACTAACTAAAAGCACAACAGTCAAGATGAATAATATTCTAATGCTGTGTTCATGTAAATGAAAATTAATGCAAAAAATATTTAATATACAGAAATTCAAAATTCTAGGTAAAGACAATCAGTATTTCTGATTTTTACTTTTGTCTAAGTTTCCAACATAGAGTGGCAAAGCACTGTTACTGATAGGTATTTATTCAAAATTTGATACTTTGTTCATACTTTGAATTTTTTTGCATTAATTTTGTTTTAGAAAAGGTTGCATTAGATATAACTTATCTTGATTACTGAGGGTTTTCTTGTTTGTTTTTTTTAATGCCCTCTTAAACTTCATACCCAAGACAAGAACCTTACTGACTTCTCCCGAGTCTTGACAGTGCTGGTTTGTATTTATTGTATTAAGATATTTGGGTTTTTTTCATGGTGGCTTGTGGTTTGGATTGTGATTTTTAGGCAGTAAAAAAGGTCACTGAAGTTAATGTTGATTGTGATGCCTCACATTCATTAAACTCATCTAAACCAAAGGTCTAAATTGCCTAGGAGATCTGTGGTGCATTCTTCCCCTAAGCTTCCAGAATTGCCCTTGAATATCATTTCCTACATTTTAACCAAAAGAAGAGCAAAGAGGACAAACCACCAAATGAAAGGACCTCGTGGGATATCAGAAATCCAAAATCTAAAAAAAAAAAAAACAAAACACAGACAGGGCATGATAATGATGTCACAAGCTAAAAGCCAGAGAAATTTAAAATTACCAACATCCTTGTTAGAGCAAGACAGTAAATACCATCCTTGCAGCAAGAAAACTGTAAGCAGCTGGGGGTAAAGAGGTAGCCGGTGCGGGTGGGAGGAAATTGCCTGCAATTTAGGGCAGGAATTGTAGGATCCAATTTGTGAAATTCTTCATATATTACAAATCAGGTGGCAACAAACTTCCATGTCAAATAAATAAATATGACTTTCAGTATCCCATGAGCCTGTTCAACATTTGCTAACCCTGAATAGCAAGTGTCCTTTGCCCTCCCTGATATTCTCAGTGCTCTGTAGAATCAAGTGACACACTGGTAGTTCTGTGGGGCTGAGTTCTCTTTTAATAGAAACCACTCATCAAGTATGTGCGTATATTCCCAGAAGATCAGATGCCCGGCTCTGACACAATACACGGGGCTCAGTGGAGAGTTTTATTAGGGTAGCATTAAAGTCAAGGTTATAGGAAGTGACCTTTACTTACAAGGGAAACTATGACCTACATGTCAATACAACACTTTGATTTTATAAATCTTATTATTTGTCATCTGCGTTTATCAGTAAAAGCAAGGGAGATTCTGAAATCAAAGAGCTCAACACTCTCCCATCATGGATGACTTTTCTAAGATTTTAAGCTCTACTGTGATCTCTTCTCATGAAACATAATCAACCACAGTCTATTTTTTAGTTATTTCCTCCTTTATTTGTTAAATGTTTAAAGTAAATTGGATACAAAATATGTTCTTTTAATAGCATGTTGCTTCCAAACAAGAAATAAAATATTTTTTTGACTAGACTTTAGGATAAGTAACAAACACAGGCTTTTCACTGAATATCTCTGGAAGAAACACAAAGTCAGGCTTTAATTACTAAACAAAATGGAGCCCTCCCTGGTGGTGCTCCAGGTTAAAGCACAGCACTCTGAAGCTACCCAACATGAGTTCAATCCTGGCCAGGGAGGTGATCCACATGGCATGGCAGACTTCTCCGGACCTGCCTGCTGCTCCCCTCAGCAGTGTGTTTCAGTCCATCTGCCTACTCTGCTTCTTACTCTGGTGAGTCCTCTCACCCCCCTACACCTCTGGCCGGTACCCCAGTTCTCTATGTATAAAGAAATAAATCTTTAAAAAAATATTAAACAAAATGCAGTCTGCAAAATTGTCTAAGACTAGTTTGAAAGGCATTTTCAAGTGATTGCTTGCTTCATGCTATCTTCCCCTCTTCTTGCTTTCTTGGGCCATGGGCTAGAGAATCCAAGTTGGTAGCAAAAATGACTGACCTCTATCTGCTCTATTAGGGCAGGAGCAGATCACAAAAGTAATATTCCAAAGACCAGGAAACTGCTTTGTAATATTGCATGGAAAACTACCTGTCAACACAATACTTTCAGTCAAAACTGAAAATCTGGTTGTAAAGGATAATAATACTTGGATGTCGTTTCTTTTTCTCTCTTTTACTTAATGGTACTTATTTACCAAAAGTTGCTTGTCAGGTTGAAAGATGAATTTAAGTCAAGAACAAGGCAAAAATTAGCAGGATTTTTTTTGTTTCCATCAAATTAAAGCAGTTGCCAATGAGGAAGGACAATATATAACTTGTGAACAACCTGGGTTATTATTTTTTAAAAGGATATTTTAAGGGAAAAAAAATTATAGTAGACCTGGAGATTATTTATCAATAACTACTTTAGAAATACATATAAACTGGCAATTGTTTTCAACCAATTCATGAATATAGCTCATAAAAAATTTAATGTTAAAAGTTACACATTGTAAAATTTAGGAAAGTAAATTTTGACCCAGGAAAAAAGCACAGTGGCAAGTGATGCTAAAATTTGGTATGCACCAACAAAAAAAGAAGAAGAAAGAGATTAAAATTTTCATTGTAAAATTTAAATTGAAAAGAAGTCATCCCATAGGAAAAGTCAGTAGTATACAAATTTTTAATATAAAAATGGGATAACAATTTTATTATTTTGGATAGAAATTCAGGAAATTAAATTGATACAATGATGTTGAGTCCATGGAATTGTTCCTTGATGAAAACATTTCTCAACAGTTATATAGCTCTGATCCTAATATTTTTATTCATAGAGTCAAAATACCCAGCTCAAAAGAGCGAGATCAGAATACTCAGTGTACCAAATGTCCAGGTCAAAGATACTGGCCACAAGTCAGAGCATTCTGACTTAATAGAAGCTTTTCTACTTTAGAAGTATTAAATATCATATAAATCTTGCAAGTACCTTCTCTACAATTTATCATTTCACCTCAACAAATCTATATAGATATGCGATACTTCTGAAACCAGCTCTCAGAAACTGCTGTCACAAGATACTATGATTTGGTTGTGCCAACTTGTTCAGCATGCTGCATTCACTGAAATTTTAAATTATAGACACTGTATTCAGGAGGCTTATAAAATCCCTGTCATCCTTGGACTTGAGAAGCAGACGTTCAGACAAGATGTCTTAGGAAGTTAGAGCATAAGATCTTGACTCAGCTCTGTTTATGAGTTATTGTTGGAACTTGTTGGCTTAAGAGATTGTGGAGGTTGAAAAGCCAAATCAAAAATCACAATTGTCAAAGCTTTCATGTAACAGGCACCAGTGATTTCTTAGTACGTTCCCTTTGACTAATCAGCTAGCCAAATAATGCATGACCAAAGCAAGAGAGTGAGAGAATGAAGGCTGTGACCTCAGAGTTCATTTACAACTAAACCAAGATTTAGTCTTCATAGCCAATGTTCCACTTAATCAATTGTCCAAAAGAAATTCCTTCCCTACCTCCTAGATAAATCTCATGCAGTGCTCAAATTCCAGCTGCCATCCTACTTCCCCCAAAGCCTCGCTCCAATAGCCCATTCCTCATTCTGTTCTCCTCTCGGGGACCTTTATCACACTCTTCCTTACACCATCACTTAATCCTGCCACCCCATTCCCGTGAAGTGCTCTGTGAGAACAGCGCATGCTGCCCCAGAACTTGATGATGAGAAAACAAAACTAACCTCTGAGAATTCAGTCCCTTGTTCCCCAAGGTCTGAAAAACATGTTTGTAATCAGATTGGAAGTATGAACAATCTAAAGAAAACATGAAGGTGTGGGCCTAGGGACAGCCTGAGGTGAGTCTTGGAAGCCCAGAATAAGACGATCCACCAAGGAAAATGTTAGCCTACTAGACCTTCACACAGTTTACAGTCTGCCTTCTCACTCATGAAGGCACTAGTCTGTGAAAGTATTGCCCAGTAGAGCCCCTCCCCAGTGAAAGTCCTTTCTGTCTGAGAAATAGGAGCCTGTTGTGGAGATGGTCATGTGACCCATATGCTGTTTACCTCTTCTGCATCGCCATTTGCCTCTCCCCACAGGAAATACCATTTATAGGCATAATGGACCAACACCATGCTCTCTCTGGTCTTGAGAACATTTACTTACTGAGTTTAGCTTTCCCTGCACTGTCTAGTTAAGGCAACCTTCGACTCTTAGCTAAGACATTGCTTCTTCCAGGAAACCCTTCCCAAACCCCAGGCCTAAGCCAGCCCTTCTTTACATGTTTACCTTTTGGTTTCTCAATCATATTCTCCCCCTCTGTGGTAATTGTCCCCAAATTTCCTTGTCTGTATGTCTCACTACACTGCAGAGGCTGTGCTTGTCTTGATCACCAATGTATCTATAGCACATAGAAGGCACTTAATCTATTTGCTAGATGAATGTATTCATTGGTTCATTTTTACATCACTCTAACAAACCATCAAATCATCTGAATTCTTCTAACCCTGTGCTCATTAAATGACCTTAACAGAAGATTCTAATTTATTGTAGAGTTATATTGCTGGTAATAAAATAATTACTAGTCTGAATCTATACATCAGTCTCTTGTGAGTTTTGCCATGTGAGTTGGTCCTGAGCACCACTCTGATACAGGTTTGAGGGTTTATCCCTAAGAATTAA